CGAATGGCACTTCATCGTGCGGCGTGTGCCCGGAGGCGCCGCGACGTCGATGTTGTTCCATCTGGAGGTCGGCGCGCGTGTCGATCTCGACGGACCCTATGGCCGCGCCTATCTGCGCACCGGGACGGCGCGCAATGTCGTGTGCATCGCCGGCGGCTCCGGCCTGTCACCGATGATCGGCATCGCGCGCGGACTCGACCGTCTCGCGCCGGCAGAGGGTCGCAGCATCGATTTCTTCTATGGCGGCCGGTCGGCCGACGATATCTGCGGCGAGGCGTTGCTGCGCGACCTCCCGCGGCTCGGCAGCCGTCTGCGCTTCCATCCGATCGTTTCGAACGACGACGAAAGATGGACGGGCCGCACCGGCATGGTGCACGAACTGGTGGCCGACCTGCCGACGGAAGCCTTCGGCGAGTCCGATTTCTACCTGGCCGGACCGCCTAAAATGGCGGAGGCGGTCGTGTCGCTGCTGACGCGCGGCCGGTCGGTGCCGGCCGACCGCATCCACTACGATCGCTTCTTCTGACCCGGGCGCGCCTTTGCCGTCGAGGGTGCTGCGTAGGAAAGGCCGAGCGCTTCCGGATAGGTCCGCTCCTTCAGCGGCCGGGCCTCCACCAACTCCTTGATGACATCGATCAGCGATTGCTCGACGCGGCTGGGTTGAACGCGCGGGTTGGTGATCATGAAGATGTCGACCGGCATCATCGGCTTGTAGGGCGGCAGCCGCCACAGCAACCCGTCCTTCTCGTCGCGCACCGCGATGTGGATGGGAATGACGCCGATGCCGATGCCGGCGACGATCATGCGTCGCACTTCCTCCATATGGTTCGACACGGCGACGGCGGGTTCGGCGAGCTGCATCTCGGCATGCGCATCCGCGATCGTCTGCAGCGTGTAGCTGATCGACGCCGGCCGGTAGTAGCTGACCGAAGCCTCGTTGCGCAGCTCGGCCGCAGTGACGTCGCGGCGGCCAAACAGGCGATGGCTCGGCCCGCAGTAGAAGGCGCAATGTTCGCGGAAAAGGTGGAAGCACTCGAACTGCTCGGGCGCCTGGTAGAGCGGCGTGATGGCGAAGTGAATCGTGCTCGCGGCCATCGCCTTCATGATCTCGGGGCTCGACATCACCGTGGTGAGGAACGTCGCCTTGGGGTGGCGCCGGTGGAATTCCGCGAAGGCCTGGTTGAGCAGCGGGCTGGTCATGTGGCTGGCCATCGCCAGGTGCACGGTGCCGGTAAGTTCTCCGCTGAGATCGGCGATCAACAGCGAGATACGGTCGATGCCGTTGGCGATCTCACGTGCCTCCCGGTACAGGACCTCGCCGGCCGGGGTGAGGGCGAAGTTGGTGGGCCCGCGCGTCGCCAATTTGCAGTCGAGCCGTTCCTCCAGCTTCTTCAGGGCGGCG